AACCGGCTGGCAATGATACTGCATGATTGGATTTTATAACTAAAGTTTGTGTCTGAGTGGCACCTACTGATTGGGCATTATTATGCTGTTGCTGTTGGGCTGTTGTATGGCCCGTTTGACCCTGATGTTGAGGTGTTTGTAGTACCTGATGATGTTGTACCTGTACTTGTTGTGGCAAACCATGATGATGCGCTCCAGCCGCACTAGATGTTATTGTCTTAATCGTTGTTGTGTTGGGCAGTTGAGAAGTGGATATGATTGTTGAACCTGTACCAGGATGTCCACCACCTATATTTATAGTACCATTCGGTAATGCTTGACTTGTAAATGTTATCCGATTTCCTGGCGCTCCCTGAGTTGTTTGACTGGAGTTCATGACGGATTGTGGATGCTTTATGCTGTTATTATTATGTATATTTTCAACTGATCTATGCAACACCTGTGGCAATATATTTACTACTCCTTCGTTTTGTTTATATGTATATGATGAAGTGTATTGTTGTTGTGGCAAACTTGTTGAACCTTCAATAGAGCTTTTATAGAACGTTTGTTCAGGCGTAATATTTTGTGCGAAGTTTCCAGGTGTTATGAATTCATTTTTATTCTTTGGTTGATTATTGTTTGAGGTGTAGGTATGAAGCAGCAAAGGTTGTTCCGTATATGATAAATTTATTTTTGAATTGACCAAATTGTTATTGACTTCCTTACCAGTTGACTTTTTTTTTGTATTATTTTTATCTGCAATAAAAATATATTAGTATCTATGTAAAATATTTTAAGTTTATATAACTGAAATAGAGGTTTTTAGAACTTTAAAGAAAAATTTTAAAGGAATTTAACATTTATACATTTATATTACGTTAGAGGAAATCCTGGCTTCAATCTTCTTCTATTACTTGCTTTACTTCTTGTTTAATTTGGAAAATTAATATTGATGAACTGAATTAATATTGATGAACTGGTTTTTATACTGAAGTAGATGGAATGCTTATTTGGGCTTGATTTCTGATAATTTTTAATATTCTTGAGTGCAGCTTTTGAGTTGGCGTCTTGTAGTTTATATGTTAGAATAGCGTTACATTGTTTTGGAAAACCTTGAGTTAGTCATGTTTGGAGATATGTTTATTGTTTACTACTCACACATAGTCATTAAAGATATGAATACACTTATATATTGCAACACATAACAGGGAACTGACAGAAGAATTGAGGTTCCAAGAACCTCGTTGGAGCCACTCGCCAAACTCTATGACCAAGTGCCATTCAGCACTCCCAAATGTTACTACACTACACAAGCAGACCTCTGCGGAGTACAACAATAACAACAAGAGATTTTCACAAATTTTATGCTGAGTTGCCACTAATAATTGTTATGAGGTGAAGGAAATTTATTGAGATGGCTTAAGACCATCTCATGGTCTTAAATAAATAATGTTGATAAACAATTTTAAAAGCAAATAATCCAAGAGTTATTGGTTTTTTTCCACGGAATCTCTCATAATAGAAGTTTACCGTTTGTAATGATGACGGAATAGACACACTTCACAATAACAGTAACAGTTAAAATGCATTTATTATGGTGTTTTCTCATATTTTAGAGAATAAATTTTCTTATTCCAGATTCATTGGAATAAAAGTTCACATTATTGGTTCTTTGCAGTAAACATTTTTAAACTTTATTGTAAATAATAAACATTTAAGGAGGACTGGTACTTAGATTTATTATAGCCCAAATTGTGTAAAAATCAAACACATATAAGATTAAGATAAGCTGAGGAGTACTAGTACTTGGCTGTTACTGGCGAGTGACTCTAGCATATAGACGGGGCCATTGCTCTAAGGTTACTACGTTTGCTTATGAGTAATATAAAACCAATAGAAAAATTTTTAATTTTCCGAATTTGGAAAGTTTTGGTTATATTAATAATAAGTCACTTTTTTGATCACTGGAGTGTTGCATGCATATTCTAATGTTGACTAGCCCATGGTATGTGCCATTTTTAATTCCAAATATAGATTGTTTGGTGGGTAATTTTAGTGTAGTAATTAAAATCACAAATACAATCGATCAATTCAAAAAGTTGTTACATTTCACACAAATATTGTTTTTACCGGTAATTAAGATAAAACACATCACAAAACATAAACACTGCAGTACACAATATACACATTACGACATTATAGAACACACTATTTACTGTTTAAATGAAATTAGTAACATTATTTTTTTTTAAAGATATGCTATAAGTATTTTCAGCAATTCTAATCATGAATCTTTAGTCATGTTGAAGTACAAGAGCAGCTCACTGCCTCGTCGGTCATTTGTTGCCTTCAGGCTTGCAGCTCAATGACAGCGCTTACCCGCCCTTATCAGTGCGGCTGCCGCGGACCGCATCATATTTTATCATAAACAATAAAATGCGCTGCAAAAGAATTTTATGTTTTTATCAAAATGATCACCTTCTTCAGTTATAATATTATTTGTTGCGTTTTTGTGAGACTCATGATCGTTCACAACAGCATTAGTTTTGTGAGGCTTTTTAACAATTACAGTTGTGGCAGAAATTTTCTCTTCAATGTCAACGAAAGCAAAGTGCTCCAAATCTTCGTTTGACGTATTGACGTTATACTTATGATTAATATTCACATCACTTTTAGTATTATTTGTAAGGAGTTTTCCCAAATTTTTATCCACATTTTCCGACGTTTCAATGAACTCAGCAACGTCACTATCAGCAGAGAAAGCAGAAACAGCACTGTTATTTGCTTTATTTTGATTCTGATGTACAAAAAATTTGGCAGAACTTGACGCCGCCATTTTCTCAAAAAATGAACAAAAAGAAAACCAGCGAAAAATGAAATTGTACAAGATTTAATTGAGCAGTCAGTGAAATATGTCAACAAAAATGTGTTACCATATTATTCAAAACATATGAAAATAAACAACAATAATCGCATATAAAAGTGATTATTAAGATAAAACAAAATCATATGAATTTCACAACTTTTTCTCATTTCTAAAACTTATTTTGTACTCTAAAAATATCTCTTTTATGTCCAATTTCCAAAAAAAACTTTAATGGAAATTAGTCTGGCAACACATTTCTAACATAATTTTCGTTGTACTATCGTACTAGGGGTAACAAAGAGAAAAACCTTTTTCGTTATCAGCAGTATGCAAGAAAGAGCACTCTATATGCGCGTAGAGAACACTCAATGCAAAAGCGACCTACCTGAGCAAAATATGTTGCTGTACCACCAACACCGAATTCGCTTACTTCATTTCAATCATTGTTCTTTGTAACACAAACGAATACGCCACAATTGATTTTACGTGCATACGAGTCAGTCAGAAAAAACATGTACCGATTGCCGACGGAGAAACGAAAGAGAAGTGCCCGCACACACGTAAATTTAAGGAATTATGAAAATTATAGTACTTATATCAACATTAATAATTTTTTTTATAAAACCTAATGCTTCTTATGCTTGTATTTATATATATTATACTAAATATTAATTTTAATCATATGTATTTTTTGGACATTTTAGCGCGTTAACAATTGCATATTTGAGGAGAAATTTTATTCACTCAATGACATATTTTCCATATTTCACAAACACATTTTAGTGCTTCTATGGTCGTGCGACGCACCGAAAAATTATTTCATATTAATTTATACAAGGTTATATATAACATATGCATTTTATAAAAAAAGCATTTGTTATTCAATTTTTGATTTTTTTTAGTTATTAATTTACGTGAATTACTCTAAAAACCTTGTTTACTGCTCCACTTCAGTGAACCAGCACTTGCAAACACACAAACTAAAAATTTTGTGAAGCCGTGTTCGGTCACTAATTGCTGCTGTCATTGTATGCTTCAATTTTGTGACGCTAGGGTGGCAGCTTGACAGCTTGCATATAAAATTTATTATAAATTGTAATAGATTGGAATGATTGATAAAAATAATTATTTGTTGTGCAATAGGTAATTATATATAATTAGTAAATTAATTTAGTTATATAATAATTTCATTATATTAGATATTATTAGATATTTCAATAAAAATTTTCAAAAAATTATCAAATAATTTAGATAGATTTGTTTTATCTAAATTAACAGCAACTTTTTTCAGCAATAGAACTAAATGCATATAACATATATAATTTATTTATTGATTATGTCCATTTGTGTTTGAAATGGGCTAATTTATCAATTGCTTAAATACCAAACTTTTTTAAAATTAGTTTTTTAAAAAAATTTCTATTTACACGTTTTTGATGATGTATGGCAAAGAAATGTTCTTTGGAGTTAATCAATTCACTAAATGATTAATAACATTTTGGTCATTGAAATAATAAGTAATAGAATTTTTTATTTAAATTTAGATCGGCTTACGACGCCATGGCTTGTCATGTTTTATGCAATTATATTCTTCATCTTAATATAAGTGTAATATGTGCTTGAATTAAAAAAGCTAGAATGGTCTAACTAATTATATGTTATTTAATTATTCTTATGCATATTATCTTTAAATTATGTTGTAAAGTCGTATACATATACTACATTACATTAAATTTATATATATGTTTTTTTTAAATGTTAAAATAATTATTAAATACATTAAATTTATTAACATTAATTTAATGTTGTTGGATTAATTATTAAGGATTACTAAATAACACGAAATATGTACATATAAAAATTTATATTTTAATTTTCCAATATTCGGTGTTAACCATACACCACCAAAACTATATAACTAATATTTGGCGTAGAAATAATATGCAGTCTATAATCATTATAATTAACAAGAATATGATGTGCTATTCTTTGATTTAATAAAAAATTTTTTCTGTGGTCTGAAAATTCTATAACAAAATATTTATAAGTTTTTGATAACAAATAGAATCTGAAATACATCCATAAAACAGACAACATGTAATGAAATAATAAAAACAATATAAAATACAAAAATATGTTAAAAGTAAACATATGTATATAAATAATTCAAAATAAAATACTATATTATCTACAAATCAATGTTAATGTAAATCAACAAAGTGCTGAAAACACAATACGTGCGAGACGAAAAATTTTAAAACGAGAAAACTGTTGAGGGGAACATGTTATGAGAGAATGTAAACGTGAACACAAATTTACTAAAATATTTTAGTGCTCCTTAGTTCATTGGGACTGTTCTAGAGCATTATGTAAACCGTATTATTGTTTAACGAATAAAGATAAAATCAAACCAATGTTCAAATTGGTATTAGCTTAACTTAATGCACTTGTCTAATTTTAGTTTTAAATAAAATTTGTAGGAGACTAAAATATTTAAAAATATTTTTATTTTTAAAAGTTGAAGCGTATAATTTATGTGGCAAATAAAATCAAACTTAATTGATATTTATTCCATAATACTGCGAATTTTAGGAAAAATGTTATACAATATTTTTGCATAAGATTGTTTACAGGGGACAATGAGAGATAAGATAATTTAAATTCTGTTTCGATTTGTGTCAACTGTGCATTTTTGTCGTTATATGTTGCTATAAAGCAAATAATTTAATAAATAAATACAAATAAATAAATAAATTAAATTTAATCAATTAATTAATAAATTAAATAATTTACAAGAATAAATGACTTAAAAGTAAATTCATTTTTTAAAAAAATAATTATTAGATAATGATAAAATTATTCTTTTGCTTTTTTAATTTAAAAAAAAATAAATCAAAATGTAACATAAGCGGCACCGTTTTGTTGAACTGTAAAATCTATATTTCTGACCCAAGTGCCTACTGGATATCAGTCCAAATCAACTGTGATAAAATTTGTGAGAAAAAGCGCTAGAATTACTCTAAACTAGATACTGAGTGTAAATAAGAGCTTACTATTTACTAGAATTAACTACATGTTGTTTGTATCAATTTATGTTAAGATTTAAACTGTATATATATATAATATTAAATATTATTAATAATTTTAAGAAATACTCAAAATCTAACTAACTAACAGCGGAGAGGAAAAAAATAATAAACCCAAATAAACTATTTATATATTTTCTATTGCACTTTTTTATAAAATTATTTATATAAAATTATTTTTTTATTAAAAGTTTTAATTATTATTCTCAACCAACATAAAAGTGAAGAAATTACGATTTAACAGTTTTGAACTATATATACACTTATATGCAATAGTTTGAAGTAAAAATGTGTTATTTAAACATTGATAGTATTTTTTACGAATCTAGCAGATGTAATCAAAATTATGTTCTAAACTTTACTTATTCAGCTCATTTGAGTTTGTGCGTAACATAATCACTTTGAAATCACAGTCTGAGTCCGTTCAAGATCCCGAAAGTTATTATTATGATGGAATTGTAATTAAATAAAATGAATTGAAATTAAGTTGTTAAATTCCAGTAATCCATTTTTTTAACTTGTGAATAAATTAGTATTAATGCATTAAAGGGCATTATTACAAGTTAATATGATATTAATTTTAGACTGTATGCACAGGATATTTTTTTTTATATAAATAAACTTCATTTTTTAAGCTTAAAGTTATTTTCTGCATGTGTTCATGCGAGTTTCAAATCGCTTTTCAACAGTCTTGAACAATTCTAAAATGCAACCCTGTCAGAAATGAAAGACAACATTCAATCAATATTAAGTGTTGCAAAACTATATAAAAATTATAAAAATTATTATTAAAATATTTTTTGAATTAATTTTTATTACATTTGTTACTTCTAACTTTAGATGAATTCATTATTATCAAGTAAAAGATATCAATGAAATTAATTGAATATTATCATGTGATATGAAAGAGGTTGCTTGTATAGAGAGTGTTCTATTAAAAATTACTAATTAGCTCTGATTTATATTGTGTGTACGAATTTATGTGTATATATTTCATTTAACTCTTTTCAATTATGCGTTTTATGTTTTATAAGTTTAAAAAAAAATGACTATATAATACTGGTTGTGATATACATACATATTGACAAATACAACAATATTACTTCTATATTTTAGTGGAGATTGAAACACCTCACTGCAACTCCTTTCTATAAATCCTCTCAATACCTCTTCCATATAAATCCTCGCAGCAACTCATTGCTGCAACAATTAAAAGTAATTTCTGTCACCAACTCCTCCTCCTTATAATAATTATTTTCGAAATAATATCTTGTAGGAATTCCTCTTCGCAACTCGCAATAACTCTTCGAAAAAACTTCTCCCAGCAATTTTTCGCTCCATTTTTTCTCAGCAACTCTTTAGTAGTGGTAGACTCTGTGACCGGGGTCACGAGTGCGATGATGGGGGCATCCGAGTCCCGAGTCATCTAAGTATAGCTTAAGGTATTGGGGGATTTGAGACGCAAGACTTGGATAAGATCAGTAGGGAGGGTGCATTATCGACTTATGGAAATATTCTTTAGAACTTACACTTTTATTTTATTTTATATAAAAGAGCAGTCAATAAAATTTTGGAAAACTCTAACTTGACGTTTTTATGCTGTTATCTAGTATTGTGTTTTTTATTTTTTATCGATTTTGATGCTATAAGTTAGCGTTTTTGTGCACTTTTGATGCATTTTTGCGAGTATTACCGGGTATATATATATGAGCAAAGCTGGATCAAAGAAGTTATTTCTCAGTTGATATGGATTCTATTTACTAATGCAATTTACATTGATGCGACTTTTTAATATCTGATTTACTGACTTTAGTGAATGAAGTTAAAATTTTTTATCTTATATTTTTTATTTTATATCAGTATAATTATAACTTTATAAAAGAAAAAATTGATTTTATTTGAGTACAATACCTAAATCACAATTTATTTTAAATAAAAATCACAATAACAAAATTATTTACAACAATTAGATAGTAAATACATAAAACTAGAATTAAATACAAAATACATAACAATAGTTAATATAATAACAAACATATACATATATATAACCACATACATATATTATAGTGCTAAAGTTAGATTTATCTATAACCCGAACAACTTTTAACAAGTCCTCCTACTTTAGCGGTGCCTCTTCAATGGGTTTTCGACGGTACACGACATAATACATCAGACAAATTAATGCCACTCCAATGCCGCCACACAGTGAAGCCCAATGCACAATATTTAGTGTCTTTAGGGAGTTTATCAGTTTCTTTTTGAAGAATGCTACCATCTCATTGTTTAGCTGAATGCCCTTTAAAATAGTGAAATGCGGTAATAATTAATTTATAAGTTAATGAATTAGCAATGTCAGGTACTGTGAAACATACTTCCTCCACCCAAATCGCTGGCATTAGCACGGTTGTCAGATTCTCCGTGATCGTAATGCGATTTATGCTCTTCAAGAACATGTTGAACTGCACGCGTTTGCCTCCCTGAAGCGGCGTACCAGTGAGCTGTGCCAGTGAACCGATAATGAAAGTGAATAGAAATTAAATTAAAACTTGACTGCATAAGATATAATTTTTTTTCTATTTATAGGTTTTCTTCTACTTTACCATCTGCACATCAACGAATGTTTGATGCTTCTTCGCATCCGGTTTGAGACCGCGAATCATTTTTCTGTACTCGTTCGAGGCGCCCAACATATGCGGCAGCGTCAAAATTACTGGTGCATCTGCAATAATGAAAATTTATTGTTTAAAAAGTTAATAAATAAGTTTTTGTTTAATTTCTTAGTTATGGTGAGAAACTTGTTAAAATAAAATAATTCATTGTTTTATTTTTGACGCGCTTCTTTGTTGTCGTTTTTATTGAATTTATTGCACTTGTCTATTGTTATATCATTTATTTTGATAATTAATTAAAAACAAAACAGAAAAATTTAAATAAAATTTATTATAAAATTATGCTAAATATTCTTATTATGCAATTTATTTTTATTTATGTTATTATGTATTGGATATAAGCCTCATTATGATGTGTATTTTTATGCAGATTGGTTAAAAAAAATTCGGCATCTATTAGGTTTTAAGCATACTAATTTTTTTGACTAAAATAAGAGTATAGAGTGGAGAGAAAAAGAGCAAGACAGAGAGCGAGCGAGCGAGGAACAGAGAGAGAGCAAGAAAGAGAGAGGAAATGAGAGAGATTTTGAGTGAGAGAGAGGGTGAGTGAGAAAGAGAGGGTGGCTAAGAAAGATTAAGAGATATATATAAATGCATCGATAGATATAACAACTTTCTAAGTCCTTATTTAGGACTGTAGACGAATCGGATTTAATGTCTAGAAGATCGTTCTACATAAGCTTCGTAGAGCTAACCGAAATTGATCGGATATCTTGAGTTTCAACTGGGAAGCCCAATGGCTTAACAAGAATAACGTTAGGGGGCATATAAGAAACAAATATATATTGTAATTTGTCGAATTTCTGGCAATTTTAAACTCAACCTAGTTCGCTACTTAATATCAATATCATCGTACACATAACTTTGAACTGTTCATTTGCTGCTTTTTATGCAAATAATGGAAACTAATTTTGGTAGACTAAGAGAATCTTTTGGATTCCAGTTATTAATAGCACCACAGTTACAGCACAGTTAATTGTCTTCATCAGGTCTATGGAAGTTTAATTTTCTCTTGACTGGTTCAAGTGGTTGAGGTGATTCAGATTTATATAAATTATTTTCACTTTACAAAAACGAATTTTAAAATGTACTCCGCAAATATACAAGCTATATTGGAGAGAGGATGCAGGTTTGTCTAGTTCCAGCTTCAGCTTTAATTTGCTTGGTATAAGTTGGTTGATCTAAGCAGCAGTTAATTGCGCCAGATCTGAATAAACCAACTTAAAGGTTAAAGTCGCAAAACATCTAGTGCAGGAAGATCGCTCTTTTAAAAAGGCTCTTCTATTCAACTAGAAAGGAACGAACCTAAGGAGTTTTTAAGCTTGGCTATGCCTTTAATCTTTAAGCATGACAGCACTGTGTGGTCAGTTAGAAAAGTCGTTTAAAGCACAAATCTTGTTGCATGCCTTCCTAATACGCGCTGACCTATCAGTACCAATACTGTAGTATTGGTTCTATTTTGGTTGGAGCAGCTGATTGGTATTAATTTTGTACAATTTGGACTAGCTAAGTGTTGTGATCTCACAATAATTTTTATCTCTCTAGGCATTGCTTGGCCACGCACTATGAAGTGGTGCTCTGAATTCTATACTAGAAATTTTAAACTTGTGGACAGGTATCCATTAACAAGATTTCTTTGTCCAACTATCCAACAATATTGTTTGTTATATAAAATAAAATATAAAATATAAACTAAAATTTTTTTCTAATTTTAGTTTATAATTTGGGGCTCTTGAACTACTCTTAGCTTTGAACTCAATTAAAATGACGCTTCAGTTTTTACTCTTCGCAAAGCGCAAATGCTTCCTTGATTTCGAGTGTTGCCACAACACAACGAGAACATCGATTATTCTTCGAATTCAATTTTTATTACAAATTGAAATCTAAAAATGTTAACTCACGTTTTATCAATTAAACAATTTTAAATTTATCAACATTTTCATAATTATTTATGTATCAATTTTTGTGTGGATCGCAGCCGATTTATCTTTTAGTGGGACTTGAGCATCGATACGTACGCGTTAAGCTTTTAATACATTTATTAAAGTTGGTTCTTCTTCTTCTCGCTGTTATTGTAAACATTGCACAGATAATAATAATATTAATATTAATTGTTAATAATATTTCTAATAATTGCAAATAATGGAGTGTTAATGATTTTCGAGTTCAATAGAATCCAGCAACGAAGCGCCAAAGTCGTTAATTTCTTAACACTGTGCGCCGTTTTCAGAGAAGTTAACACCTCCCTCAATTAATTTATGAATCTGAAGAGTAAATAGCAAATAAAAGCGGATAATAAAATAATAATAATCATGTATAAAAATTGTATAATTATAAGTATGTACAAACACTTAGGAATATCTACACAATTATATGCCATAAATAGTTCTTCAAGTTTTTCTTATAACATTCCTTCAGGCTGTGGAGCACTCGAAGTCTTTGTTTAGATTTTGTGTACATCTTCTTCGGTAAAAAAGACTTTCGACTTCAGAATTAATTTCAATTTAATTTACTATGAGTTTATGAGATTTATTTGCTAACTTTGGAAATAATTAAGCCACACTTTGAAGTGTTAATTAAAGCACGATAACACAATAAAACTCCACTTTACATTCAACTCCAGCCAAGCGTCGATCGTCAAAAACCGATCGTGAGACGTGATAATTTAATTGAAATTAAAAATATATAAAAAAATTAAATAAAAAACACATACAGCAAATCAAAAAATATAAACAATTTTAAAAATTTGCATTTAAATTTTAACATTAAAACAAAGCAAAAATAAATTTTGGTTCAGATTTGATTGATTAAGTTGCGCACGTTGTTGGCATCTATGATTTTTGGATGGATCATCGATGATGGTATTTGATGATCATGTCTAAGATTTATGGATAAGTTGATGTGTTAAGTTGTTTAACTATTTAAGTGCATTTGTTCTGATCTGATTTTTTTTTTCTAAATTAATTTAATGAGTGGAATTAATTATTTGCAACAAGTTTAGCAAAACGTTTTGTGTCTTCAGAATTTGCAAACATCAGAAATAAAAAATTGAAGTAGAAAAAAAATTATATTGATTTGATCAACACGTTTTAAATGAATTTTGATAATTTATTTTAATAAAAGATAAAATAAATATTTGTACAAATATTACACATACTTAATTTGTTAAGTACAAAGTAAAGTAAGGAATTCGGTTTTTTTCCATAGTGATATGCGTCAGAGTTTGAAGTGGATGAAAATATTTCTTTGAACTACATCTATGCCATTAAAAAAAAACTTTTAATATACTTTCATTTTTATGGATATTAAACAATATTCCGAAATTTACATATATTCAATTTATTCTTATGCAGAACACGAGGACTGCTTTTGATATGCCGATTTGCTAGCTAACAATGTGAGGATAAAAATACATAGAAAAGTACTTGTACTAACTTGTGAAAGGCGGATATATAGATTTTATCTACAAATCAATATGTATTTTAGACTAACCTATTGGCCTCCCTGAAAAACTTTGATTCAAATAACTTACAAAATTTACAAACAAAAAAAATTTAATTCGAGATAGATTGAATATGTCTAATAAACGGCCTATGTGAGCTTAATCCGACACTGTTTGGAGTATAAATGATTTTGATTTTCAGCCGTAACATTCGACCAAAGAAGTTTATTTATTAAGATTATATTAAAATAATATTTAACTGTTAACTATAAAAACTCAATAATTTATATATATTATTATTTCAATAAAATGAGAATTATAAATACTTTTAACGTATTACGAAGTACATAATATAAATACATATATTTTATATTACTTTTAATATCATCATAAAATCCTTATACGTTAACATTCGGTTTCATTACTTTAATTTAAATAAACAACTAGAAAAGTGCGTTAAGTTATTTAAAATGAACCGATAATAAACACTACATTGAACTTAATTAAAGGGATCGTCACTAATTAATTAAACTAATTGAGAATTATAAATAATTTTAATATGTAATAATATAAAACCATTTCGTAATGTACTATTAATAATTAACATACATTGTAGGTTAAGTTAGGTTATACCGGCGATCCCTGGTAGATCCACTTAGGCCTAAAGAAAATAGGTTTTTAGTGAGTTATTTTTTTGACAGGTTATCAGACTGTTCACCGGTAAAGTCAAAAGACTTGTTATATTATATAAATTCAACAGGATGAATTATGTATTCTTCTATCTTTGGGGTTGTTGTGAGGAATGTGTTAGCAAAAGGGGCGAAAAATTGTTAATTGAGGTACATCGAAACTTATCTAATGGCCTGTCACTGCAACCAACCAATCAACAATTGCTAACATACTATAAACTGGGGAATGCACCGCGACTCAAATAGTCTATTGTGTTAACCTTAGCTGTCTTTAATTAGATTTATATTTATAGTATTGCCATTGGATAAATTTATTAACAAGATCCTGGTGAGTGTTTAAAAATTTATTTTAGTTTTTTTACTATAAATATACTCATGGCTATTTTATTACCTATATTATTTTAATATCTTAGTGTACTATTGTTCTTTCTGTAGTTGTTGATTAAATTAAAATAAATAAACCATATTGATTAGATCAATTTAAGTAGAAGTACATGGGCTCTTTTCCATAGTGATGCAGTATGCGGTCTCATTGCTTGAAATGTTCTCTTCTTTATTCGTATGTGATAACCAGACAGTTGTCCTATTTCGATGGTTCACATATCAACTAAACTAGTTCGAGACTATAGATGAAATATTAATAGTCTTATAGTGGATTAAATGTAATTCTAGTTTTGAATGGTGATAATGTCAATAGAATAGTTAATTAGTGATTCAAAAGTGATGACTTTTAAATGTTTATAATAATAATTTGCATAATTGGTTCGATATAAGCAGATACGGGGATTTAGATTTCATGAATTGCTGGTTTATTTCGTTATTATAAAAATAGGAAAGTATGACATAAAAAGAAGCATTTTTAATTAATTGAACTACACATTTCAGTTATAGGAGGCAAGTAATGACGTTGACTGGATTT